AGCCCCACGTTCTGCCCTCAGGGCAGTGATGATTTTGGCTTCATCACATTTGAGACTGTTTTACGCCTTTGGGCTGCTGCTACTGTGGCCAGTGCATTCGGCACTTGGTAAGAGTTTCTTTGTAAAAAAGCAGCAGTGCAGTTTAAGCTTAAGTCTGTGGTTGCCTACGTTTGTTCCTTGCCCGACTAATTGTGACCTTTTAATACTTTTAGGGACTCCTGTACAGCAGCCGGATATTACATGGCCGGATGTCCGCGATCTGAAGGTAATACCCAATCCTACAGGCTTTGCCGCTTTGCTAGTTCGATGGCAAACACAAGCCCGAGATTCAGTACGCAACTTTGAGGTCACTCTACGCTGTACCGATTCTGACAGAGTTGATAAAAAATCCTCAACCACGGAGGCGGAAGTATTATATTTCAACAATCTGTGCCATGGGAACTACGTACTGGAGACGTTCCTGCAGACTGCTTTCAACGGAAAGGGAATGCGTGTCACACGGACGATGTCTGAATCTGGAAGTATGTTTGCTTAAACTTGCCTTACCTGTGCAACTTTACAATCTGTTTTACTTGTTGCTTGTCTTGTTCATTTGTCTTCTATTTCTAGCAAATATCGATTTCTTGAGTGTATCGTATGCAAATAAACATACAAGACGCATACAAGTCATTCGGAACGCGGAAACAATTGCTACTCTATCAATTAAATGTTCTTCCATATTTATGGATGAAGTTCTTTCATTTTCATATACCTGCGCGTTAAAAACCTTATGGCATATTATTCCTAAATATCTTTACTTTATAATTCTGATTCATTGGAATATTTGCCCAGTTGAATAACAATTTTCCCTTTATCTTACGTTTTAGGCGTATTGGATGAACAAATATTGTAAGTATTATCCAATGTTGACATTTCGTTTACAAAATCTTCCTCGGCTCAAAGCACTCTGTCAATCGAATCTCATTCGTTTGCAGAATATAGCAGGTTGAATTGCTTGAATAGATGTCTAACACCGTGTGTCAACATTTTTAAATGGAATCGTTGATTCTAAATATGTTATTACTGTGGCATTTAGTATTTAGTGATCGCTTAATTACATTGAAAGGTGTGCATATACAGCTTATGTTGAAATTTTAATCTAAGTACAGTTCATTACGGAACACTAATCAGTGCTTCATAAACCCACGAGTAAGGAACAAGTAGAAGTTAAATATTTCCTTCGAAATATGTTGGTGTATGCATATATTACTCCTTAATATATTGGAAAGCAACGAAGTGACAGGTATGAACTAATTAACAGTTGAAGTCCAAAATTGGTCTGACCTATAAGTAAGGTATTATAAGTTAAATACAGGTCCAAGCATATGAAACGCGTCAAAGTTTCGGATCTTTAAATAGAGCAAACGTTTGATCGTTTGAAGTAAATTCAACAACTAGCATCCGATCCTTACCTTGTCTGTGGTTTTTCAATGCATCTTGCATTCACGAACAAGAACAGCGCGAAAAAGAATAATAGATTAATGGTATTGGTAGTGGTATATTTGTATTGGCATATGCTAATGGCAAATTAATATAAAGTAGGAGAATATAAAATTTCCGTGCATCAGGTCAGAATTGCGCAAAAGCCCAGGGCGTTTAAGTCTATAATTCCGTGTCTGCTGTTGCTTTCCACTTTGTTTGCTCAAGCTCTTTTTATACATTTATTTCACATTTTAGGCCAAAGACAGCGAATGATGGTAAGTTTATCCCATTACTATATAATAATGACATCCGCACATTCTGGTTCCCAGTGCAGCATAATTTCGTAGAAAGGTTTCAGGAACTCTTCCAATACGTTCTCGTCTCTGCTATTAGACTTCCGAAAACTCACATGCACTGAGGATATCCGTAGTCCACATAAAAGCAAGACAAGTTAATAGACGTAGTTTTGTTTTCTGTGCATGACTCTCATAAATTCTAGCGGAACTTTAGCTACTGTGTTATTTACAGCGCGGATCATCAGGATAACGATTATGGAATGCCATTCTCAATTTCTGAAATATTTGATCACCTATGCCATACGTAGCGGACTGTCCAAACAAGTGCCTTTTTGCAAGACGTCGGCTTTAACGATTGATTGAAGAATAGAATCACCGTAAGCTTTGGGTCAGCTAGCCTGTTGGCTAGTCTTCGAACAGGTTATGCGCAAACAAAAACATATACAGGCAGGGTTAACTAGGAGAAGTCAATACGATTTACACATTGTTTATCGCCTATCCCAACTCTTTTTCAGGTTGACAGTTGTAAATGACACTTCATTGTAGTTGAAGAACATTATGCTTTAAATAGGAAAAAAAATAGACGTGACCTATTGCTTTGTGTTGCAGACATTGCGTGTGAGCAATCAGCAGAAATGCACCTGATTCAACTTCTAAGAATAATTATCTATAAAATGAACAGATGCACCGTAAATAAGGCACAATCCTATAACACATTTACGTGCTCATTAATGAGATTTCGAGTAGAAAAAAGTGAGACAACAACCATTGACGTTGGATACAATAAATGTTTGTGCATTAAGAAGAGAGAATAAAGTACCTAACATTCTTCTTTCTTTACGATATATCCAAATGCAGTGCAACCACCGACAAACGCCACAGCGACACTGTTTGTTAACCCCGACCGAACTGTCTCCCTGAATATCTCTTTCATGCCTCCACCACTCGAAAGTGCACCTACCAGCGGCGTCGTCGTAGAAACTATCACTCTGATTGTCACTTCGGAAACCAACTCTCCGCCGGAAATATGCCGGAAAATCCTCAAAAGAGTACGACATTAATACCCTATCCTTACATCTGAAGGTTACATTCACAGTTCCCAGCATGCTAAGGTTAATTTAATGAGTAACCGTTCTCCTCTGCTCGATTAGGGTCTAAACGGACCGGACGTACAGTGTGTGTCAATTTGGATACAAGCAGTTAATGCAAATGCTTTTGATAGCAGGCAGCAGATAGATTTTAGTTTAAAATAATTTGATATTGCAAGGGAACAGCATGAATCTAGCCGTAAAACGTTTTAATTCTATAAGTGGACAGTATCAGCCACCAACAAAATGTTGGCTACTCGAAGCAAACTAGACGAAATGAAGTGTAAAGTAAAAGGATAGAAACATCTTTACAATTTCTGAACGCTCTTGGGCAGCAGAATGCGAGTCAATATTATTCAGGTTATTGCTACTAATGTTTGTCGCGGATCACAAGAGTTCCTAGCTGGCGCCCTCCATTCGGTCATTTCGAACTCTGTAAAAGTCCACATATTACTGCGGAGACTGCAGTTATCCGTTATTTTTCAAGCAAATTAATAACAGTTCACCTCTACAGAAGTAAAAAGTGCTGGCAACTTAGATGCTGTATACTACAGCATCAGTAAACAACGAAGAACAAGCACCTTGACTCATTATTAACGCCATTATCTACACACTTGTTTTTTATAATGTGACGTAGAACGAAAACTTTGCCGGTGCCAAACAGAACGCCGGTGTGATGCAAGTGGGACTGCCGCCTGTCTTTAAACTTGGTGAGACATACAAGCTGACAATGTACACCAACGACGTTACGGAGAAGTCATCGGAAGCGAAAATCATCATGCCAACATTCGGTAGGTTCTTAAATCTTTTTTGCATAGTTAAAATGATCTCTCTCTTTGCCCTAATTAACACGTTTCCCTAAGCGGCAAAACAACCTTAGATTATGAAAAAAACCGATTCGGTAACCTTGCATGATAGAAAAATTTAAAAGCTGCTTTCGTGTGGGCCATTAATACAACCACTAGGCCAACATTTCCATCATGCATCGAAATGAAAAGCAACTTGCCTACTAAATTTAAATTTATAACCCCGTCAGTAAAGTCCTTGTCTTCGACCTAACAGCCTCCTAATTGACCCTCAACCCTCAGGCTTAGCTGAAAAACAAAGAACATTTGTATTGTCTTAAATCATCTGTTGCAGATCCGAGCATCGCTTCGGCCAAAATCAACTCCATCTCCGCCACTACAATTGATCTTGAATGGGGCGAGTCAATCTTCCCTGTTGACGGTCTGCAGGGGTTTCTACTGCGCGGCATCAGCGACAGTGGTGAAGTTACCGCGAAGGCAATGGCGAACGAGCGGAAGGGTCGCCTGTCGAATTTGAAGCCCTACACGAACTACACCACTTCAGTCGCCTCTCAATACTCCGATGACAATAATCCGGACCTGACCTTCCATTTAGGCGTTGTGCAAACATGGTCTGCAGGTATGGCCTAACGTCCAATTTTTACATTCGCTAAGGTGAGTATGTAGTCACTAAGTTCACTGCTGTGTCAACAACACACGAATTTTTAAAAGGAACCCGGAGATAATCGGTTTCAGACACTGTATACTACCTCTGACGTTTGTTCTCTTAAAAAAACGAAGTGTGAATTGCTTATTCGTTTAAGTTTAAGGGAGTGCAAACGCCTATTAAACGTTGAGATATTTGTAATAGTACTCACTGTTGTAACCGTTTTTTTACTTCTGTGAAATAAGAAACATAATATTGTGCTTCCGAGGGCAACTGAAATAAAAGATACCTTCTTAAAAGCAAAAAAGGATGATAAAATCTGGCTGTTGCAGTAGGGATAGATGAGGGAAGGCCGCTTTAATGTGACTGGCAGACTATGATTCCCTGGTCAGGCCTTTGACACAAGGTTCCTTGAAAAGGTCCTGACCCTACTGCCATGGACTGGGAGTAAGGAAAATTACGCGGAAATATATCCGAACTATTCATTTTATTTGGCCAGATCATTTGTTTAATAAGAGCTTCTTTCTTTATTTTCCAAAAATGGCAGCTCCTTCTCCCCCGACTCTCACATCCGTCACTGCTTCGGGACCTGACTCTATTACACTAGCCTGGGAGGCACCGGAGACTACCAACGGCATTCTAGAGGAATACGACGCGCAGTGTTACAGACCTGGTAGCGACTGGCCCTCGGGTAGCCAACGCGTGAATGCCCAGACTCTCTCCACTGAGGTTACCCGTCTTGTCTCGAACACCTTATATGAGTGCGCCGTGATTGCATCTACAAAGCAGATCAACTGGGGCCAAGGCGGCGGAAAGACCTCCTCAGCAAGATCGTCCCCCATACAGACATGGCCAGGAAGTGCGTGATATTGCGTTGTTACAAATAGTTATCATGAGCATATACTAGCACATAATACTCTAAATTAGGATGTGTTAGGATTAATGTTTATATATTGTTTAATTACCAGATATGGCGATACTCGGACGGAGATGCAGGCTGATACTAACAGACAGCTGACAAAATCAAAAGATTACTCTTTAGTCACACCATGTTCACAACTATGTTCTCACCACACTTGTATAAGCAAGCTAGTACTATCCTGTAGCAGGTTTGCGCGAGTAGATTCTTCTCAGTCTAGGTGGCAGAAAACTTATGCTGCTCCCACGCCAGTTTGCACATTTCCGATTGAGAAATTTCGTGCTTGGAGTCTTCTCATTTGGAAAGACAGCTTTGACTGCTGGACCTACAGACAACTGGGGTTTGATACACCTTTACATTTGAAACGATCTCATGGCTGCTTCGCTCGTAGACCGAACAATGCGACATCGCAATGTTATAATTAACGTGTGCACTTCTTGTTTGAAGTAAATGACAGACTTCTGATTAACCTTGTGGGGAAATACAAGCGAACATGCGAGTCCCAGGAAGCATATGCTATCCGTTTCTGCTACTACTATCTAACAATGTCTCTGATGACGAATCCACGACGGGTCTCGAAACGTCAGGCGAATAAAACGTATTCTGTCAGCGATTGAATCGTCTTCTTTTCAACTATCAGTCCCATATGATCCGTAAAATTACTAGACCGTGGTGCTAAGAACTAAAAACGCAATGACCACTGAAATTTCCGAATGAAAGCCTGTATACATGTCGTGATAAATGCGATGGATAATTTTCCCAAATAATTCTGAGAAAAATATCCTCGTTTTGAGGTTAACTATCTTCAACGGTATGGCGTCAAAAAACGAAAATGAACATTCCTGTGCTTTCTCCGCGCAAAATGTTGTGAAGCTGCGTAGGACGTTAGTTATAGGGCATAAATTATGTATTTTTATCCGTAAATTGAAGTTTAACCACTTACAGGGAAAAAGTAAAAGCACATGGAACCTCCGAGTGAGGCTGCATGCGTGGCGATCTAAAATTAATGGCTGAGTTTTCTCAAATGCTTCTGGACATAAATGCCCTATTTTTATTATCTATCTACAAATATATTCTATCAGAAAACTGAAAAGGGTAATTTTTTGTGAGCTGTGATGTCGTGAAGCTGCGTCGGACGTAATGGTTAGTGCATACTCGATGCGCACATATAAGGCCTTGTTTCCTGTAACTTGATGTTACTCCGTTGCAGGAAAACAAATAAAATGATAATCTAATCGCATGCTTTAAATGTACACATATAATGTACTATTCCAACTCCTTCTAGCCGCTGAAGAAATAATTATCAAGCAAGCTTCTGCAGTTGGACCAAACTCATTGTTTATGGAGTGGTGGAAACCAAACAACATCTACGGAGACCTCGGCCACTACCGCGTTAAGTGCAGTCCGACTGGCCAAACAAACGGGGAGAAAGAGACTCAAGTACCAAGTGACACGCTCAGCGCAAC